CACACACACACACACGCATACAACTCAAAGGTATGTTAACAACTTAAACACAGTTTTCAGATATACAATTATGATTCATGGATCAAAACATTCAAAACAGAGAACCACATTCTTGTGATTCATGCATAATTATCTTAACACACAGTTATGCAATATTAGAAAATACTGCATCTCTCTTTCTCTCTTTCTCTCTCTTTCTCTCTCTCTCTTTCTCACACACACACGTACACACACACACAGTTATCCTAACAAGGCCACAAAGAAATATAATTAATACTCAATGCATGAAACAAGGGAAAACATACGTATCTCACACAACACAAAACCCACAGAATAAAGACATACAATTATGACTCATGAAACACACACAGTTGCGTACCGGCAGCAGTGTGCTGTTTTTCATCACAGTGTTGACGTTGCGTAGCAGCGCCCATTTGGCCAGATCCTTCTCATAGAGTTCCACATACTCCCGACGCTTGTACATCTTCACGTGCACAGTACAAACTCACACGCACTCTAGCAATGATATCTGATGAATTGTATTCCACAGAAGAGAACAAAAGTATCCACGAGTCCAGGTTTCAGCTTTCTCTTTATCGTCCTTATTCACACAAGTGGACAATTTCCAAAAATCCACATAAAATATCAAACTAAGACCTAAGGTCAGGCCCCCAGGACAACCCATATACAATCGGCATCATAAAAACAATGAGATGTTCAAATTCTTCATGGTTCAACAGGTTCTATTAATCATGGTCACATGTCACCTCCGTTTCTCTCCCCTGGGTTCATCTAAAAAATGCTGAAATGCCCTTTAAGTGACATCAAAAAATGATGAAAAAAAACAGACATCCTATAGTCTAGGGTCAAACATCCTGGTTTCTAAGTCTCGTCCTTCTATATTTCTTCTCCACTCACTAAAATCACTTTAAAACTAAGTGATAAAATCCAGCCTTCGACTAATTCTCACATCACTTTAAACTTTTCACTGCAGTAAAATTTTGGGACAATCCTCCTGCTCTCTCTCCCTCTCTCTCTGTCACACTGACACTTTGTTAACCCAGCCCCCCACAACCTCCACTGTCTCCCATGGCAACAAGATGTCACTTCCTCCTCAGGTGTGTCCCATGGTGTTGGATTTCTGTATAGATAAATACACTACAGGCTCCTACTGCAATGTAAATGCTAGTTTAATGCAAGATAAACTCTGTGTGTCCTTACTGAGAAACATTACGGACAATAATAGAACGACTAATAATGGTGATACTAATAAAGTTCACAAAAATGTGGGTAGTTACTAAAAAACACTCGTTAAGGAACGAGTGAGGAAAGACCTGATAATTAATGAATTGTTAAGAAGTAGTTAGTGAATCGAGGACTTTACAGAAGCTTACAGAATGATGAGTTTAAACATCATGTTTGAATAAGGGCAGGCACTTTCAAAAAATACTCAGCAAGCAATTGGATGAACCTTCTGTCTATCATATGCTAGCAGCATCTATGCTTACCTAAGGTGCCATTATTTAATAAACAGTGTCTTCTCCTTTAGCTGCCATTACATCCTAAAAGGACACTGATTGGTTTGGTACCACTGTAGTTTGGCCATAAACACGTACATTGAAGCCTGGCAAGAAGGATTGTCGTGTCATCTTGCATGTCCAGCCAAAGGCTGTGTTGACCTGTTCATTCACCTTGACCGGCTTTAAGAAAGGTCACTCTACCTGAAGTGACGTACCACTACCCTGAAGACTTTGTCAGGTAAATGTAAATCTATGTTTTTGTTTTACGGCATTAGAAGAAAGGACAAATGCTGTCATGTCTTTACCATCCTTGGGCGAAGGCCAAAGTAGGGGTTAAAAATGAACCCTCTTACAAAGCCTAGAATTACAAAACCAAACATAGTAAAATATAAAATGTCTGATGATGAGCTGCTTCCAATCCATACAGGAAGATTCCCCACATTTTATGTAGCGCCATCATCTGGCAAAAACGTATTTACAAAACAAAATACCTACAAAACTCACAACATTCCCATCAGCCTCAGCTGACCTTAGTGCTATTTAGCAAATGTTAAAAATTAAACCTGCCTAACATCAGCATGCTACCATTGTCACTGTGAAGATGTTAGCATGCTGCTCATTTAGCTTCACCTCTGTCTTTTCCTTTTCTTTCCTCCCTCCTCTGTAAGCAGAGAGAAAGATGGGAAGAGGAGTGTAGCATGAGATGTGCGTTGGTGACTCGTGGGTGTGATGTTAGTGTGATGAATGGCTCTTTGAGTGTGTGTTACATACGTATATGTCAGTTTAATTAAGTAAATACTCGTCTGGCAAACTGAGCCACTCAAACATTACACCACCAAGCACCTGTTACACACACACACACACACACACACACAACCTACACACAGACACCACACACCTACATCCACACACACCACACACACACACACACACCACACACACACACACACACACACACACACACACACACACACACACACACACAGTAAGCCAACGGCAAACTATCAGAAGCCACATGTTGAATTATTTACATAGAGGATCTGTTTGGTGTCTGTCTCCTCTTTTATATTTCTCTTTCTGTGTGTCTGTCTTTCTTTTCCTTCATCTCTTTCTCCCTTCCATCATCCATACAGTTCCCTTTTTTGCTGTCATTTCTTATCAGTGAGTTGTCTGTTACAGTAGATGTAGTGATGTGCAGACAGATAGAATTCAGATGATCTTGGAAACTGATCAGGTTATGGAGACAATGCTGAAGTCAAAGTGCTTTTCCACTGATGATTTTGTTTGTCACCTAACTACATGATGTAAAGAGCTGGCACTGTACAAGTACAAACGAATTTTCCTCATCGACGGAAACTTGTTTTAATTCACAGGCCTTTAGAGGCTTTTTACAGAAGTAATTTCAAGATCAATAAAACAGACACTACAACAAATGGAGACAGCGATGATAATTCATGACCTACTGACTGTCAGACAACCCAGTAGAGTAGCTCTTTGTCAGCATGCAGCCTTAGTATGTGTTAAAAATAACTAAAATATTCTTCTCTTTATTTCCCTATATAGCAGTTATATCTGATGCACAGGACTTCCACTATGGTTACTACGATACTCTCACACACACCATGGTTTGGGCGAACATGACAGAGACAAGCCACAGTGCTGGTGTGGTGTTAACAAGGCAACAGTGATGTTATGTCCATGCTGCTCGCAGTGGATGGGTTTGTGTTCTCATCATCTCTTTCTTCAGGTAAATAATTTAGGCCAGACATGAGCCGGGTATTCACTTACGCCTGCTAATGTCACTACTGTGTGGAAAGATAACAAACCACACAGAGGACAGATAGAAGAAGAGCCTTATGGCGCTGAGCATGAACCACATCGTCGCTGGTTTGATTCCAGCTGGGCATATTTGTTGCATGTCTTCCCCATAGCTCTCCCTAATTTCGTGTCATCTCTATTTATTATTATCAAATAAAGGCCTAAAAAATAATTATATAAAAGAGTCAAAAGACAAAAATGAGAGTGAATCCAGGTACAAAACGAGCTATTCTTTAAAACGTAATAAACTGCCTACATACATAGATTTTCACATCACTGAGTCTACAGATAAATGACTGTTTGGAGGCCTCTAAAATGTCACCGAAACAGTGAATCACAATCTGGTAAATGAGTATTGAATAACTGGTTGTAGTTAGCTATTTACGCATTCAGCAGGTTGACTCTTGGAGATAGTAAGTATTCAATGATCCATTGTTATTGTACAAATGTTGAAAGATATTATCAATAGATTATATTAGGATATTGTTAAGGATACGTTATTATCTGTTATCTGTTTATTTTGCAGGACTTTGAGGGCTTTGAGGAACACACAAATGGATATTCATGATTTCAAAACATGTGCAATCATAGACTGAGATTCTGTCATTTCAGTCATAACTGCAGCTTTGTACCATCTTGTGACACTCACTGTGCACTAGGTTTACTACAAATTATACAAGCTCTCTCCAGGGTCTGTATCTAAGCATACACTGCCAACCACAACTCACCACTGCAGACTGCACAGTAACTGTCTGCAGGTGAGAAGTCTTATTCAGGTATAAGTCTGCCCTCTGCTGGTGTTTATGAAACTCCTTATCACTAGTTAGGAAACATCTTTTTGCAGCAGTGTGTTTCCCAGTATTTTGCTCCTGGCAATGAAACCACTTCTAAGGGAACCTTTAGACCATCACAGGACACAAAAACTTTATCTAAATCCCTAATTATTTTAGAGTTAGGAGCGAGTGCACAAGACAGCTATTAGGAGTCCATAACATTAATAAAGGCACTTGCATTTGCATTTAGATAGATCATTTCAATAAGTCAAAGGTCACAGGGTGAGATATAGCGACAAGGTAATTGTGCTGGCATTTGTCACTGAATAAACTCGTCAATAAAAACACAGACAGACTGGCTCTGCTTTATGCTTCAGTGGACAATCAACATTAACATTTTGTCTCTATTCTGCCTCCACAAAGACGATGCACAGCAAGTAATAGTGGTGGAAGAAGAATTCAGATCTTTCACTCATATACAAGTGGTAGTACTATCATATAATGACACTATTACAAGTCATTCCAAATCTTTCTCATGTAAAAATACATGTAAACTGTCAGAAAAATGTGCTCATGTTGCAGAATGACTGTAACTGTAAATTACATCATTGGAAAATGATTACTGGTTATTGTTATTTATAATAAAAAGGACTCAGCAAGATTGAATGTGATCATTACATGTGTGAGTTTTGTCTGATGTAAGAAGAACAGTCACTGACTAAAGCTACTTAGTTAGTTACTTTCCTCAAATTCAAAGTTTGCCCTTAGGCCATAATATTTCCATTAAGGTTGTCCAGTAAATGAGAGAAAGAGAGAGAGAGCTGCTGAATGAATGAATGAATGAATGAATGAATGAATGAATGAATACCAGTGGAATTTAATGCAGCACTGAGCACAGCGGAGACAGAAAACAACCACTAAAAGAAGCAGATAAACAACAGACAAACGGGCTTTCAGGGACACTTTGTGGGAACATAAAAATTATAATTTCTAAACTAATTGAACAGACAGGACAGTAACATGAAAATCTGCGGTAAATATGCAACAAAAGAAAGGATCTAAGTACCATGCAGAGTTTCTTCTGAAGGGATCATGTGGCTGGTCAAGAAGTCATTAACCTTTATATTTATTATTATATTTTTGTATTTATATGTCTTTTAATGTAACCTTATATATGGGTGGATCGATTTTATTTTTATATAAAGCTGAAAGTCGAAGTTTGTGTTGTGTAATGTTAACTAATCAATAGATTACAACTTTAAAGAAAACTAGTGTGAACTGTATTAAATTGGCACACAAATTCTGCATAATATTAACAAATAATTTAATTTAATTTGGAGACAGGAAAAGATAATTTAATAATTAACTGTCACTTTTGTGATGCAATGCAATTATGCAATTTAATGATCTAGTTTATGGATGTTATTAATACACAATTTAAAATGCTTGTTTTTAAATTAATGAAGGATTAAACACTGTAAAGGTGTATTTTGGTGACATACTCCAAAACCACAAGCTGACACAAACCACAGTGCAGAGGACTGCGACTTCTCATTAGTGAGGTTGATTAATGATTACCGTCTGCCTAGAAAGATAAAGGGCCCTACTTCAATTCAAACACAAAGAGCACCACAGAGTGGTAGGTCTCTGTGGGCGTGTTGGTGTAGGTGCAGCAGTTCAAGTTCAAGTTTATTTTAAGTATAAATGCATCCCAGACTAATCATGAGGACTGATGCCATGAGGAACTGTGGTCAGTGCCCTTTGTGTTTATAATACGAAGTTTTAACATTTAAATCAGCCAAGTGTTTGAACTGTAAAGATCAACGGTGTTCAGAAGTCCTCTGAGTTTACCTGGATCAGGGTTATGTATCTGTAGCTGAGACGACGTACACTCGCATCCCAGCCCTCCACTGGCCAATCAGATCCTTTCCCGTTAATTTCCGTTGCCATGATCACCACGTCTTGTTAAGATCTGCACACCATTGTGTGAGAACAGGACTACAAAAAACTAAAACATAATTGCTCCCTTTTTGTTTTGATGTGTCAACTGATTGATATTATCCTGTAAACTGGTGACACTCCTGATCCCAGCTATTTATCCACAGAGATATCCCAAAATATAATAGACTTCCAAAGCAAAATATCCTCAGCTTAGTGTTAAAAAATCAAAAAGAAAAGGAAACAGCAAGAGCATCTTTAGAAAATCATGTTGTAAAAATGTTTTAAATTTGCAATCAAATTCCATGTTAGTCAAGTTTAGTCATCACAAAAATCTTTTTTCTCCCCCAAGGTATAATGTATTCTGTAAGTGTAACAATAATCTTCTCCTCTTTCAAATTCACCAGTTACATCCAGAAAATCCGTTAAACTGGCAATAAAAATCTTCAGCTGATCAAATATCATCCACAATCGTTCTTCCTCGCCCGTATTAAAAGCATGTGTGTGATCCAGTGGCAGCAGATTTTCACACACTTCCTTTCCAGCACAGTTTGATAACACCTGTACAGTTTAGATGGAGGTCAGAGTGTGTCTGGTAAAACAAACATCCACAGAGAGGGATGAGGGCTGATCTCTGTGTGTGTGTGTGT